ACCCCAATTTTTGATAACCACCCATATAGGGCCCTAAAGCCTAAAGCCTTAATAATATTATAATAATTACCTATACTTGTTTTATCTAATAGGCGCCAAAACCCTTTTCTGAGTGGGGTTTCCAGTAATGCTCTCAGACTGATGTTGACATTCTCTCAAGGGGGTGTTCTAGGGATGTACACAATTCCTAAATTAACTAGAGAAGGATGTTCAGTTGGTTTGGCGGTATAGAGCTATCGGGGTGTGGAGTTTTGGATTCGGGCTTAAATCGAGGATAGGGACTCTGGTAGGAGACATGACATAAGCTAACAAGTACCGTAGCCACCATCAAGCACGGCAATTACATCCCCACTTGTTTTCTACTTTGTCAGCATCCAAAAAGCAGTGCGGTTTAGGGTTCACAGTATTGAGGGCAGGACGGCCGGGCGTGAGGGTTCAAGTCCAAGCATCAGTTTGTGAACAAACTGTTGTCGGGCCTCCTCCCCCCTCCAACAGAGGCATGCTGGCTCTGGCAAAGGTCTTGACTGTCTGACAAAGGCAACCCTAAAACCCTGAACCCTAAACGCCTAAACCCTATACCCCTACACCCTAAACCCTACATGAGGGTTGTTCCGAGTCAGTGCCTCCTAGCCCCAATTCCGAAGAAGTTGCATGTGAGGTGCAGATGCCCGGACCTGGAATGGGAGCTGCAGGCCCGGAGAATGCCGATTCCAGTGCTGCTTCCTCACTGCCATGAGCTCCTCCTTCACACTTGGAGGATGATGGGACTTTTTAAGTAAGGTTTAAAGTACCCTAATTGGGGTTATAAGTAGTTATAAGTCCAGTTGCCTTCTTTTTTTCACTGACTAAGTCCCATGATCCTCTAAGCAATCTAGACAACCAGGGAGCAGAAAACGGCCAAGACAAAGGATTCTGTGGCCTTGGGCGTTCTCGTTGTGAGGGATTGTCGAAGCCGCATAGCCCTAAATAGCCGGTAGCCGGCGTCGTAACCCTTCGACAGGTCATGGTGCTGGCAGATCGGCAGCCTGGATATTCTACTAATGACATGGTGCGATTTCACTTGTGTAGCATAGGGGCTGGCTTAATAATCAAGATAGGGTTCTGGGGTATACACAACAGTCTACAGGGACTAAGGTGACAAGATTCCTAGTTACTCAGACCGACCGCCATGCTACCAAGCAGTCGACTCTGTTTGTGCGCAAGCATGGTGATTCCCTGCAGCTCGAAATCTTATCGGAAGCGAGCAGGGAGTTTCCGAAAATTGGGGGACCCTAATATGGTACCCTAAATAGCAGGATCCTGAATATAAGAACCCCAAAATAAGGTACCCCTCATTTTCGGAAACTCCCAGCAAGTTTATGAGAGGCTGAACCTATCAAGCACGTCAGTCCACACCGAATTCGCGCGAAGCTGAGGCCGAATGTCCCTTCCAGGTACCTGGGTGCCCGATGCCATCATTCACGTCAAGTACATGTGACCCTGCTGCATTTTTCCTCACGTTTCCCATCCCGGGGGTTCACAACCTCTCAGTGACCTCCATGTGACCTGAAAGCTGCAGCCTCTTCAGTCCCAACACAAGCAAAAGACAGCAGCACACCCCAACCTAAACTTCCTCATAGGTCTCTAACAGGAGCCCTTATAGCTCCTTTTTTTTTGCACCCTGAACCCTAAACCCTATCTGGCTAGAAACCTTGTTTCCCGGACAGCCTTCCCTGGACATGCAAGGCTCGAAGCTTGCCCAAGCCCAGGTGTAGCTGCGCCATCTCTCGATGGCGGCAGGCAGTTCATGTCTACGCTGCTTGGATGTCTCCCCGTAGATCCCTACTATGGCAACTTGTATTAAAGTATTAAAGTCCTTAAGAAGAGCCCAGCTGTTTCGTCTCTATGTGATACTGTATGGGCCTTAATAATTAGAATAGGGTTTTGGGGCCCATTATACTATAAGTGTAGTAAGGAACCCCCAAAATAGTATTGTCTGAGCTCTGTCGGGTTTGATGGTGAGCTGGAAGATGGCAGAGTACTTGGAGGCCCTTTTGACTTAGTAAGTAGGGTTAGTAAGGTGGGTTATGGGGATTATAATAGGGTTTCTAGGGGATACTAAGTAGTAACCCCTAAACCCTAAACCCTATAGATCCCTTTAAGGAACCCCTATAGATCCCTTTTAGGACCCCTTTAAAGGAACCCCGACTTACTAAGTCAAAAGGGCCTCCAAGTAGCTTCTCGAGCCACTGAGCGGGCGGGGAAGCGTCCATGTTTTCTGCGGGGGGGAAACCGAAAGGGTCGGGTCTCGGAACGTGGAGGCTCAGTGCCTTAATGAGGAATATGGGTATCAGTTATAAGTTATAAGCATAGTTGTAAGTTATCAGTATAAATTATTAGTTTTTTTGTATAGTTACAGGGGTCTCGTGCTCCATTTCACCTTGAGAAAGTCGTAGTTGCTGCATCAAAGATCCGAGGATCCAGTCGACATCGATGGTTGGAGCATGGGCCTCCGCTTGGGCGATCCCTTACTCAGGCCGCCCTTGGGTGGAACTTTCCTGTAGCCCGTTCTTGCACATATGGGAGTTTCCGAAAATAAGGGGTACCATACTTTGGGCTTCTTCTAAAAAGGATCCTACTATGTAGGGTACTATATGAGGGTCCCCTATTTTCGGAAACTCCCATATAGCGACGGGAAGCTGTGGGCACCAACTTCTTGGATCGTCATCTGGGTTGCGATACTTCAATGCGAGGATGCCGAGGTTGTTGCTGTTGGGCGAGGCAGGAGATTTTGGACATGTATGAAGTGTCCGAAGCGACTAGCGATGCCACGGAACAACCATGAATTAGCTCGCAACAAAGTGGCTCATGAAAGACAGTTGAAGCTGAGAGATTCTTTCGTGAATGCTGGAAGTGCTCCCGCATTGCAGACCTCGAAAAGCGAGAGAGCCAGGTTTGATGCAATTCTGGCCACTACATCGCTCGGTGTCAGTGACTTGCGACAGTGCCTTGGTGTTTATGATCCGCCATCCATTTCAGCAAATGTCAGCACTTCTTGCGAACACTGCCGCGGAGCATGTGCATGGACACGACAACTGTGGTTTCAAGCATGAGCACCTGGCCACAGCAAGTCCAAGGGATGTCCTGCTGCCAGGCACCCATCACTGCAAGCTGTGGCAAAGAAGCGCGGCAGCAAGCTTTCTGGATAACCAGGTTCGCAAGGGCTTGTTAAGACTTTGACTGTCGAATGACAGCACAGACGAGCAGGGATGTGATATATTCGTGATTCCGTAAGACAGCTTGCAGATTCAGATCCGGCAGCAAAGGAACCTCTCCATCTTTTGGCTGCCGATTCACCACTCCAACTTTCATGACCTGCGCTCACGTGATCCCACGGCAGAGGTGCCGGTGCGGTGCATGGAGACCGTTCAGGGTGTTTAGGGCTGCCGACAGATAATGTTTCATTCTACAGGGAGCGAAGGCTTGAAAGTAGTACCATAGGAAGGAGACCGATGGTGCTGATAGCATCATTTGCTTCAGCGCTTGCTGTTAACAAGCACTGCTGTTGCGACAGACCTCGCAGGACAACAACCGGGAATCACTGGGAGACTCAATGATGCCGGCGTATCTAGCGTGACAGATCCAGAATCCGAAGCCCGAAACAACATAGGGGCCTTACTAAATAGAATAAGGTTCTGGGGGATCCTTATGATAACTATAGTATAACCAACCCCCCAAAAAAAAACCTAGTCTACTGATTGAGGCCCCTCTATGAACATCAGGTGCAGGTCGTCGGAACGCACACGGTCCACCGAGACCCACCGCTCTATGCCCAGCTGCAGCGAACGGTGCGGGAGGCCGGGGCCCTGAACTTTCATCCGAGCTCTAAGGCTTAAAGGGATCTATAGGGGTTCCTTAAAGGGCTCCTTAAAGGGATCTATAGGGGTTCCTTAAAGGGATCTATAGCGTTTAGGGTTTAGGGTCTACTTGGAGTAGCATTGGACTTAGTAAGTAGGCTTATAAGTGCCTTAATTGGGGTTATAAGTACTTATAAGTATAGGTACCTTATAGACCTTGGATCCGAGCTTTAAAGGCAAGATGGGAGGGGTGCGTTATTTAGCCTAGTAGTAGATTAGGCAACCTTTCACCTTTTTTGGGTAGTATAGTCCCTATATATTCCCTATGTAACCAAAAAGTTTAACCTTGAGTTCCCCATGATACCCGACAAGTAGGTACTTGAGGGTTCTTATGTTAAGGACCCTACCATTTAGGGTGCTAAAAACTCCCAGACGCATCCGAGACGAGATCCTGAAAAGGGAGCTTTTCACCAGACGAACCCTGCGATGTAATTCTGCACGAAACGTCCTGCAGGTGACTGCTGGCAAGGCTCGCTTCGCCCATCTGAACCCTGCGAAATCCTTTGCAGCCACAGCAGCTTTGCCCCAACAGAGCGTGGGATGCATGAAGGGCAACACGTTCCGTTCCGGAGACTCGTAGGGTTTTGGTGGATCGGTGATGGTGTGGGTTGGCTGCTATCAGTTCCAAGATCAAACCCTGCTTCAGACAGTCCAGTAAACTGTTGATGAAAAGCTCGGTTCAAGTGGTCTCTTCACGTATTGTCGTGGACCGCAAACCTCCAAGCACATCAGAATCTCGGACTAAGGAGGGTCGCATCATCACGCCTCGCCAGATTGACGATCTCTACCAGGAGATTTCATCCTTGGACGTGGCGCCGCTCGGACCGGTAGCTCGAAGACCTGGTGCTGGGCTTGTTGGACGGCTCCCAATATCCCCACACGGAACTTCCACCGTCCCTACCTGGTCAAGGGTACCATCTAAAGCCTCCGGTCCAGGCCCTTTGCACTGCTCGGAACTGAACCACAGTTGGTTTGCGAGATGAGAGGTAGCGGAAGGAGGAATGGCCGGCCAGGCAACAGATTAGAAGAGATCCTTAGGCGCAACGGGGTCTAGGCACAACCACTGGACACTTGGGTTGAATAAGCATCCGGAGCAATAGATAGATGGAGAACAAACAGGTGTGTCATGAAACAAGGGTTGCCTGTTGTGCCCTGCTCCGTTTGAGGATCTGCAAGATGTCCGGGTGCCAGAGCCTTAGAGGTACTTAGAAATAATTTTCAATTTTTGGTTATTATAATCCCTAAGAAACAGCTGAAATTATGATTTTTGCTAGGGTTCTAAGTTCAGTATAGTATTATGGTGGTTCCTCATTGTAATTAGAGTACAATATACCTCTAAACCTCTAAGTTCAGTATAGGAGCAACTGGTGGTTCTGCAGTCGCTGGCGCACCGGACAGCGATTGGCGCCTTCCCGGCATACTGGGCTCAAGCGTTTAGGGTTTAGGGTTGCGTCTCCTGTGGAGCTGAGAAGTTGGGACCCTAACACGCTCCAACACAAAAGGCTGGTTCCCTAAGTTAGGGACCATACTAGTGTAGAGACGTTTCTGAGTTGTTCCATTGCTGTGCCTTTTCGAGATATGCCTTCTGAAGCTGGGCAGAATGCCTCCAGGAAGAGCAAGAAATACCTAGTAGTAGAGTAGGCAACCTTTAACATGTTGTGGGTAGTATAGTCCCTAGATAATCCCTATATCACCAAAAAGGTTGCCCTTTAGTTTCCCATGATACCCCGACAAGTAGGAATATGGGAGTTTCCGAAAATGGGGGACCCTAATATAGTACCCCAAATAGTAGGACCCTTATTATAAAGATCCCCAAATAAGGTAACCCCTAATTTTCGGAAACTCCCATATAGCGGTGGGAACAATCGCATTTGTATCCAAGGGGATCCCTGCTACAGTTATGACGTCCTCGAAGCCTATTCTTAAGAAGGGTGATCCTGAAAGGGAACCGTTTTTACAGAGCCACCCAAGCAGCACCACGAGCGCAGTCTGTTTACCTAAACCTTCTGCTATGCTTGAGTTAAGGAATGTTGATTTCAACATTTCAGGGATCCAATCATAGCTTCAGGGGTTGTAAAGCTGTGTTGGGACTAGCTAAGCTAGAAGAAAGCCGCCTGTTTTCGCCGCCTGTTCGAGGTGAACCTTCTGAGCCTCGGCATTCCGACCATTGCACCTCGTCCAAATGGGGACGTTATGAACTTAGGAGTCTCTCCTCCCTCCCTCTACCCCATCCTCGGTATAGACTTCAGGTCCCCTTCTTAGTGTCTTGCCTCCTTGGTTTAGGGCAACGGTCCCCTTCAAGGTCTTACGAGGATATTTGTAGGGTATTTGGAGTGGATTATGAAAAGCAGAGCTCTCCTTAATAGAGCATCCTTCCCCCAAGAATCCTACCGCTCAGGATGGACGCAAGACTTAGGGCTCCATTTGATCTTGCCCTTCCATCGAAGGGTCCCAAGTTTGTAAGTTGAGATCGTCTGATTGCCGAAACTCTCATACTGCGCTCTAGTAGTCCAGGCCATGAAAATCGCAGTCCGGCACACATAGAGGTCCAATACCCCCACATAGATATAGGACATACGTACCACACATCATAAGGAGGAGCACACACCTGACATCAGGAGCGTTCTGCAATTCATGACGAGAAGCCCTGTATGTTTGAAGGTATATTCCGCATTTAACGGATAGTAGCCTCCCGGCACAGGTGTGGGGCGATGCACGCGGCAATTTGGACGTTTTGGAAGGAAGGCGCTGGGGGACGCACGGGTTCAATGCCAGCGGGACGACTATCTGGCAATTGCTCCCACTGGTTCATCTCCGAGCAACATGGGGCAAGGGCCGCCCTGTGCTGAAGGAAAGAGTTCGTGCATGGTGAGTGTCTTGAGCTCTTCACAATGTACAACTATACGGCTGGCAACACATGGCACACACACGATTCTTTGGGATCGATACCGGCATTGTTCTTTCACATTCCTTCCACGTGTCTTGCAGCGCAGGTGGCCACCCGGCGACCTTTTCGGTGATGGCAGTGAGTTTGGTGTCCTGGCCGCTAAGTCACATGAGGGCACACGAACCACATTCGCCTTCTTTTTGTAGTCAGCGGCATGCCCTTGATGTCCTATTCCTCATCAGCTGGACCTGCAGCTCGACTGCATAGGTCCCTGCATGTGACTGCGAGGGCTTGAACACCGTGGCGAGTAGTTTTGGTTGCCTGTGGAGTGCCAGAAGGTGGGAGCCCCCCCACCACGTGCCTCACACAACAAAGCCTCGTCAGGGAGGGGTGCAAAACGGGATGCACAGCTCTCGAGAGCACCAGGCACGCTGCCCCTGCAGTATCCACCTGAGCTTGTTATACGCGGAGACGGCGACGCGCCGCATCCTCGGCCAGTCCGGGCGGATTTCGTCGCGTGAGCTTCAGTTGGGCTGCAGAGGTGTCGCTGTTGGGTCTCCTACAGATCCGCTCCACGCACGAGATCTGAAAGAATGCCAAAGACCCGTCCTTTGTAGCTCTCCGGATGCTTTCGAGGCTCGGAGCATTGCGCCTGGTCCTACAGAATGCGACGCTGCGGGCCCTGGCCAGGGAGCAAGGTCCTTCTGCGCAATTTCATGGATTTCAGACCTTGGATCCGAGAGAAGTGCCTTGATATTGAGTCTCCATCCGGGCAAGCCTGGTCTATCCTCCTAAGTTTCAGAGGGGGGTCGAACTTTGTCGTGTCCCACATCGGTGCTGCCTTTCGTTGCAGCTCGGGTCACAAGTCCCTCACGCGCTGTTGGACAGGCTTGCAGCTGGCGCAGCGCTTCACTTTGCAGAAGATCGCGTCCCGCACCGTACTCAGATATGGGATCTTGGTCTTGCTTTTGTCGCGTGTATCCGTCAGCACAGAGAAGCACATGGAGCATCCGTTGATGCAGCAACACGCAGACTTCCTGACATGCTTATCCTGCCATGGCCACTTCTGGCATAGGGAGGTGTGCAAGCTGAGTGCCGTCATCCTGAGTTGAAGCGCCTATGAATCTGTCCAGAAACCTATTAGCAAAGATCGCTGTAAAAACGATCAAACATACTTGAGAAAATTGCTCGGATGAAGTGCTGCCCAGTGCCACCGCTAGATGGCATTGAAGTCTTCTTCCTGCACCCGAGCTTTCAGGTAGGGCCGGGGTTATGATACTGCAAGGTTGCTGACGTCTTGGCCGCTACCAAACTGACATCTGAGGACTAGCCCGAATCCTGCGCTTGCTGCTGCGACGGCGGCTGGCAAGAAAGCGCTGGCACTTTGCGAGGAGGCAGGGACGGACGGGGCCTGGGATCTCCGTAGATCAGAAGACTCCCAGCGGCTGCAGGAGCCGATGAGGCAGAACTGGAAACGGCTGCAGTGAGCAGAGACTGGCGGAGAAGGCAGGCACCGAAGTTTGTACAAAGAGACTCATGCACAATTTGGTGGCTGTAGCTGTAGCCGTCGAAGCTTGCAGGGGCGTCGTGCTGCAGCCATCGGCATGGGCATACTTGAGAGAGCCGCTGCACAAGGCCAAGGCCAAGGCCAGGTCGCTGCGCCGCTTTCTCAGGTTCGTTCCCTGCGAATTGCTGCAACGAGGTCTCCACGCCGTCTGCAATCCATGGAGCAGTCCGGATCGAGCCGGGGCGGCGTGCCACTGTCCGCCTCTGGCGGATTCGACCGGCTGGCTAGGTGCATGCCTGAAGACGTCGACAGCCTCGCGGTGGGAGAAGATGTGCGAGGCGAGCAGAAGTGCCAGCGACGTTTGCATCGAAAGGTTTGTTGCGTGCTGGACGTTGGCAACCGCGATGATGCAGCCAAGACACGACTGGCCAAGTGCAAAAGTTGCAAGCACAGCCTGGCAGTGTCTGATGGGACCCGAGAAAAAAGGTGTGTTAAGGGATTGTCGATGCCATGATACTGGGTGTTCCTGCTTGGAGGATCATGGGACTTAGTAAGTAAGGTTATAAGTACCTTAATTAGGGTTAAAAGTAGTTGTAAGTATAGTTACCCTATTTATAACCTCACTTACTAAGTCCCATGATCCTCCAAGTAGACCCTAAACCCTAAACCCTACAGATCCCTTTAAGGAACCCCTATAGATCCCTTTTAGGAGCCCTTACTAAGCCCCATGATCCTCCAAGTGCTTGCTGCTCCCAGCTCCCGTTGAAGTCTTGAGCAGAGCGAGCGTATTGGAAAATTTGGAGGGTACCTCGTTGTGGGGTCCTTTAAAGGGTTCCTTAAAGGGATCCTTTAAAGGGTACCTTAAAGGGATCTATAAGGGTTTAGGGGTTAGAGTTTTGGAAAATTGGAGGGTACCTCATTGTGTGGTTTAGGGTATATACTGTAGTATATTATGGTATAATGTAGTATATGGGAGTTTCCGAAAACTAGGGTACCTTAGTTTTGGGGTACTTATAATGAGGATCCTACTATTCAGGGTACTATCTTGAGGTCCCCTATTTTCCGACATCTGCCGCCAAGGTTGCTGGAACGAGCAGGGCCAGCCTAGGAGGCAGGGCCTGAACTTGTGTTGCAAGCTTCGGTTTCCGATTTCTGTGTAGACTGTAGGGGCCCAACCTATAATAGTTTGTGGGTTCCTGATTACGACTTAGTATAATGGGCCCCAAAACCCTATTCCAATTATTAGGGCCCCTATTTATTTATGTGCTCCATGAGAAAACTGTGGTGGACTGAGAATCCGTGCAACTGAGACCAATGTTTCAACCCACAGAGTACGAGAACCGAGTGTGCAACGAAGTCAGGAGCAAAGGGGAAAAGGAGGGACCCTTAATGGGGACCCCTAGCCTATAATGGGCTATATAATGGGTATATAAGAGCTATATTAAGGGTATATACCTAGGGGTCCTTATTGAAGGAATCCTAAACCTTAAACCCTTTATAGAACCCTTTTTGATCCCTTAAATACCTAGGGGTCCTTCTTAGGGACCCCTCGTTTGACCGCTGGACAATACCCCTGAATTAGGGAATATGGCTTAAATTGTAAGGGGCTTCGTATTCTGATTTAAGCTATATTCCTTAGTTCAGGGGTATCGGAAACCCTAATCCCTATAGATCCCTTTTAGACCCCTTTTAAAGGAACCCTATAGGTATATTCCTTAGTTAAGGGGTACTGGGGTCTCTGGACAGGAGCAACCAGAATGGAGGAGGACGGGCTCCTGAGCTCCACCGGGGTGCCTCGGATCACGAGTTTACTCGCGACAGTCTTAATAGACTCAGCTCTTAAAGGGCTCCTTAAGGGAATCTATAGGGGTTCCTTAAAGGGATCTATAGGGTTTAGGGTCTACTTGGAGGATCATGGGACTAAGTAAGTGGGGTTATAAATAAGGTAACTATACTTATAAGTACTTATAACCCCAATTAGGGCACTTATAACCCTACGTACTAAGTCCCATGATTCTCCAAGCAGTGGAGCTGCGACCACCACCTCCCCTGCGAAAGTCTAGCTGCTGAGGCAGCAGGCTCCCCGAAGCGCGCTCGTTTCGATGAGAAGCTGAAGTTCCTTCCTGCCGTGAGCTCTGCTTTTTCGGTACAAAGGTTCTTGCTGCAAGAGTGTGGACTCACTCAGGGTTGTGTCTTCGCTGAAAGCGATGGTGTGCCCAGGTTGCCTATGTTGTTGTCGCGATGCTGCTACTCGCCGGTATCTACTTGCTACGATCTCAGCTGACCTGGTCTCACCGATCTTTGTCCCTGCGCAAGTTTCATGCAGCGGAGTTCAGGCAGTATCACATCTCTCCGCTTTTGTCCCACACAGCGGCACATCTTCAGGCCCGCCCCCAGCCTGAGAAGTCTTGCGCACACACAGCCATCCTCCTGCCAGATGCCCGATGCTGCGGCCGCAGGAGAGATCCGAGGCCACAAAGAAGGGCCATGGAGGGATGCACAGTCGCTCCTTTTGTGTATTTCCCGTGTTCGCGAGCCGCGAGCCAGAGCTTTCCTGAGCCTTTCGCCGAGCGCCGCAGGTTTGATCCAGCTGAGCTTCTTCGTGCCAGTCACGGAGCCTCGGCTTACAAAATCGGAGGACATTCCGTCGAGTCATGCAGTCGCAGACACTAGGAGGGCGGGGGGAATTCTAGAAGGCAAAAGGAGACCGCATTGACATTCTGTGCTAGGCTCTGCTGCTGATTTGCTACGCACCTCGGCCGGGAAAGTGGCTCCAGATTGATTGTTGATTGTGTCAGGCTCTCCTCGGTTCATATGCGAAGTTGTTGCCGAGGTTCGCAGTATTCTGACACATCCGGGCGAGATCCCTGACGATCCGAAGTGGGAGCATCTCGGTGCTTGTCAGACGCGTGTTGTTGGGTGCTTTGCAAGCACGGACTGAAGATGCGCGTGGGGTATGTGGTCAGAAATCCATGCGAAGTGGTTAGAAAGAAGTTGTGTCCTTGACCAGTTGAGCACCAACCAGGTCCACGTTGGCGTTGTTTGTTGGTGCGTTGCATGTCCCGTGCATGGAGGCAGAAGGCACATTGTCCGAGTATGCTTGCTGTTTCACTATTTAGGGCTGCATGTCTCTGCGACATGCCTCCAGTTCAAGTTGGCATGTTCCACTCAGGTACATGCCCCGGGACAAGCTTGTGGCTCTAGCACCACTGAGCTTGCAGGAAACCAAGAAATCAGGCGAACGCAGGCGCAATGCGATGTGAGACACAGATACATCATAAGAAAGCGTACGGATGCGCAGCGCATGTCCTTCCATGTACACCTTTCAAACATTGTGTGATTTCGCTCGAGAGGCATTGCAAGTGGTGCGGCAAGTACAAGCCAGACAGATGCCATCATTGCCGAGTCTGTCGTCCCACAGCTGCAAAATGTCCTTTTGGACAGGTCATGTATATGCACGACTGGCGAAGTGCTTCGTAGAGCATGCTCGCACCGTGACTTTCCGCAATTCAACAGTGAGGGGGCAGGCTTTACCGCCCCGCTGACCTTGTTCCATGCCGTATCAGAATCTTGTTGCAATGTTTCCAAGGTATATTCTCCCTGTTCAAAAACGATGACAACCTTCTCGCCATTACAACAGTCGGGACTCATCTTGAAATCGTATTTCCCCATTTCCTCTTGTATCAGTTAAAGTCAAAGATTCAATGTTGCAGTGCACCAAATCCGACAAGTCTTTTTCAGCCCTCACGCATCAAGATCCGGTCCTATGAAGAAACCCCATTTAAATCCTCGTCGAGTCCCATTCCGGCCCTACGAAATCCAGGTCAAAGACCGACGAAACTCTCACAGAGAAACCTACAACGAAATTCGGCAGATTCTTGACCAAATCCTGCAGATAATTACTCGATTCTGCCCATACTTGATTCAAGCGACACCCCAGTCAAAGCCCGCCTAATGCAGGAGTGGAAGCCTTGTTCAACCGAGCTTGCATACACCTCGCCGGTCAAACCATGCAACAACCCAAGAAAATGTGTGTAAAGTGGTCTGACAGGTGAGGGTTATACATGTAGAGGGTGTAGGGATGGGGTTGGTCGGGATTGTTAAACGATTCTTGGCGTCCGTGGATATATAAAAAATCAACTTTCTGATCTGTTAAACAACTATCGTTCTGAGTTGCAAAAGCCCGCTTCCCTGCACAAAAACCGTATTAAACGTGCATCAGAAACTATGAAGCCAAAGTCAGGACTACATCTATTGAAGCCCTCAAGCCCCGCGAAAACCTACTGCGGGCATTTGTGGGCGCAGTCCACACAAAGAGCCTGCTCGGCTCACCGGTTCAGCCCAAAAAACTAGCACGTGGAGTGCTTGTGCTTGAATGAACTGCTATGAACTTTGTGGAATATCTAACTAGGCCCAGTTTGGCTTCAATTCTTTGCCATTCACCAAAGAGGAATATATGTCCTGCGGCAAGCTTGATCATAGCACCTTACCGGGTCAGCTACGGTTCCGCATCTTGCATGCTGAGCAGACCTGGCAGCCAGGCACATGTATTCTGAAGATGGATCACCACTGCCCATGGATTTACAACTGCGTGGGCTGCTTCAACTACAAGTTCTTCATCCTGCTCCTCTTCTACTCTGACCCTGGCCCTGCAGTTAGTCATGGAGCGCTGAGAGCTGGTGCGTGCAGGATGTTTACTTCACTTACTCCAGAATATCATTGGGGCAGGAGGCTACTAAGGCAAACGTTAGAGGGCAGGACGATGCAGCTGCCAAGGCACTGGACTGTCACCTCATTGTATGGTCCATGAGCGAGTCCGTCATGCGCTGTGTGAACATCGAGGAGACACCCTTCAAAGAGATGTGACTTGGTGGTGACTATTAGTTTGGCAATTCCTTGCGTGTGTTCGCCATGCTTCGTCAAGGGAGTTTGACCGGTTGGGCTGGATGTCGCTTGCCGAAGCTGCAAGGAGCTGACAGAATACACACGAAAGAACATCCTTCTTCTATGTGCGAAGCCCCCGAGCAGACAGCACAAGAGCCCCAAAC